TAATCACAGACAGACAGACAGACCCAACCCTATAAATTAACGTCACTTTTCTAATCCTCGAAATAACCAATCCTTACCTCCCCCCTCCCCCCCTTGACAGTAATAATGGTACCGTGTTTCAGCATCTTCGTCAGCACCATTACGAGCCATTAAACCCTTCGAGGATGGTGGTTTAAACTCATAGTCTCATGGGCTTAAATCATTGTCTTCAAAGGGTTCAACCGTCGTCCACTCAACCATCGTCCTCAATGGGTTCAACCGTCGTCCACTCAACCATCGTCCTCAATGGGTTCAACCATCGTCCACTCAACCATCGTCCTCAATGGGTTCAACCATCGTCCACTCAACCATCGTCCTCAATGGGTTCAACCGTCGTCCACTCAACCATCGTCCTCAATGGGTTCAACCATCGTCCACTCAACCATCGTCCTCAATGGGTTCAACCATCGTCCACTCAACCATCGTCCTCAAAGGGTTCAACCATCGTCCTCAATGGGTTCAACCGTCGTCCACTCAACCATCGTCCTCAATGGGTTCAACTATCGTCCACTCAACTATCGTCCTCAATGGGTTCATCGTCTCACCCATCGTCCTCAAAGGTTCAACCATCGTCCACTCAACCATCGTCCACTCAACCATCGTCCTCAAAGGGTTCAACCGTCGTCCACTCAACCATCGTCCTCAATGGGTTCAACTATCGTCCACTCAACCATCGTCCTCAATGGGTTCAACCATCGTCCACTCAACCATCGTCCTCAATGGGTTCAACCATCGTCCTCAAAGGGTTCAACCATTGCCCACTCAACCATCGTCCTCAAAGGGTTCAACCATCGTCCACTCAACCATCGTCCTCAAAGGGTTCAACCATTGCCCACTCAACCATCGTCCTCAAAGGGTTCAACCGTCGCCCACTCAACCATCGTCCTCAAAGGGTTCAACCATCGTCCACTCAACCATCGTCCTCAAAGGGTTAACCTGTACACGCTGGCTCTGATACACAACAACTACTCAACAGAAGATGACAGAGAACATGACTTCCTGGAACTATCAACACCCACTAGAGCCATCAGTGGGCCATGGAGTTACTACAGCGGGAGGCACACACGGAGGAGCCATCACAACACACCACCTCTAGTTTAATGGGTGATAAAAGATACACTGTGTCAACGGGACTCTCGCACTCAATGTTCTTGTGCGTATCGTTACTCTTTCTGCTTCTTGCTGATGCTGTCATGTTGTTTGTGATGTTCTTTAGCGTGCTGTTGGTACTATATACATACACAGGCAAAAACATACCTAAACACACATACACATAACCCCTCCGCCCCCCCCCCCCAAGTAGGTGTGTTGGTCGTCATCTCTCTCTCTCTCTCTCTCTCTCTCTCTCTCTCTCTCACAGTATAGCTTCGTCGACTACCTCCCAAGGAGATTGTCTCACTGACCAGCAAGACTCGTTCACGTTATAATGTTATTTCTAAGCTTCAACAATTAAGTTCTTTAAATGCGTAACGAGGTTAGCTGGTACACTAATCTATCAAAATAAGTAAATAAATAAATAAAAGATAGAACTAGAATCTAAGTAATTAGTCTCTGGCTGTTAGTAAGGTCGTGATCGAGTCAAAAGTACTGTTTCTACATCAGCCCTGGACTCTTTATCTGAGGTCAACCAGTTAGTTAGTTAGTTGTGTTGTTGAAGCTCAGCTGGGGAGTAATACCAGGTCGGATGGGATTACCTAGCGCGGTTGGTAACAATGCTTGTTGTGGTTACCGTAGTTGGTCACTTCCATACTTTATATAAACACGGTAGCAACACCAAGACTATTTAACCCATAAAGTACTCAATTAAATTATCAAAGGTTGTCCCATCATGTAAAATTAATAAATAAATAAATAAAAATAAATAAAATTACATCAAATTATGAAAAAAAATCATCACATCCATTTTATAATTATGTAAACACGACAACGCCATCAAACTCACCTATAAAGATACAAATAAAATTACGAACAGCATCTAGTTGGTGGAGTGGTCCTCACAACATCATCACTACTACAACATCACCAAGCTGGTCCACATTACACTACAACATCTCCAAGCTCATCCACATTACACTCCAACATCACCAAGCTGACCCGCATTACCATATCACCAAGCTGACCCTCACTACAACATCACCAAGCTAGCTGACCCTCACTACAACATCACCAGGCTAGCTGACCTCACTACAACATCACCACTGGCTGACCCTCACCACAACATCACCGGGCTAGCTGACCCTCACTACTCACCAGGCTAGCTCACTACAACATCACCAGGCTAACTGACCCTCACTCACCAACACAACATCACCAGGCTAGCTGACCTTCACTACAACATCACCAGGCTAGCTGACCTTCACTACAACATCACCAGGCTAGCACCTCACCAACATCACCAGGCTACCTTCACTACAACATCACCAGGCTAACTGACCTCACTACAACATCACCAGGCTAGCTGACCTTCACCACAACATCACCAGGCTAGCTGACCTTCACTACAACATCACCAGGCTAGCTGACCCTCACTACAACATCACCAGGCTAGCTGACCCTCACTACACCACCACCAGGCTAGCTGACCTTCACTACACCACCACCAGGCTAGCTGACCTTCACTACACCACCACCAGGCTAGCTGACCTTCACTATACCAGCACCAGGCTAGCTGACCTTCACTACAACACCACCAGGCTAGCTGACCCTCACTACAACATCACCAGGCTAGCTGACCCTCACCACAACATCACCATGCTAGCTGACCCTCACCACAACATCACCAAACTCGTGCACACTACATCACCAAACTTTTGACCAGCACACCAGCAACACTCGTCAAGGGATGGAAACAACATACAACCGAATAGTGATGAATGACAGTGTGGTGCATCAGGTGACGAAGCTGACCCACCACCACACACCAGCCTCCAGGAGGTTCTACAGGTAACAGTGTTGGTGTAACGAGTACGAGAGGTTCACCTGTGTTCATGTGACTTGCCAATACCACAAGAGCTTTATATAAATAGTAATACAAAATAATCTAATACTATGAATAAAAAAAATCGACCACCTAACCCTTTAACGACCACCCATAATGACAGAATAGAACAGCATTTCACTGTACCACTGTAAACGACCCTTCATAATACAAGGAACACTGCCAGTACACACAACTATACAGAGGACAGCGCTCTTATACACAGGATATGACCATCAGAGGCACTGCTGTTGTAAATAATATAACGCTACACAGTCACTACAGTTATCCAGTGTTCATCTCACCCAAGGATGATGGAGACATTCTGTAACGTAATACAAACTAATACATCTACTGCATCGTACATTACATAAATACAACCCTAACACTCACCTCAACAGTTTAATAAAAGGATTTGTCTCAGCCAAAACAAAATGGAAAACAAAATAAAAATATTATTGTAAACATCATGAAGTTGCCTGTAAATAAAGCGTGAAGTAAATATTAATTGGCCTTCAACATATGTGTGCCCATTACTTCAAATATATATATATATATAAAAGCATGACAATTTTATTAAGTAATGCAAGGATATGATTCTAGGCTGGACATACCATTAGTAATCTCGCTCACAAACTAGGGAGGAACGAACGATAAAGTCGGACATGTTCAAGTCAATATGCCTCTTATATACGTGAAGTAATGAGGCAATAATGGTAAATCCCATTAGATCATGAAGCTTAAACAACACACATTATATTCAAAAATATGCTAACAATCTTAACTCAGGGCGAAATATACTCCAAAACCTATAAGAATAACATGGTATATCCTTTATCAACATGATGTGACACGACTATATCAGAGGTGACAAAAACACTCGCTTTATACTTCCTGAACGACATTAAAGAGGTGAGGTGTTGAAAGTTTATACGGAGTTACTTTTACGAGTTAAGACCTGACAAGAACCCGAGACATACGATAATTAACATGTAAATTTTAACAGAAACATTTATATTAACATCAGTCGCTGTATCATGTTAACTTGGCCAAATATTTTAGTTACTCTCTTTCTTGCAAACACCAAAACCCACCATACCCACACACACAAACCCACATGCACACAAACACCCACATGCACACAAACAGACACAAACCCATATACACACACTCAACCCCCCCTCCACACACTCAACCCCCCCTCCACACACACTCAACCCCCCCATCAACCCCCCACACTCAACCCCCCCCACACACTCACATTAATTCCTCCATCACTTTACAAAACGCGGAAAATGTCTGGTCTAAATTATGCAAAAAAAACCTTCTTTCGTCATAACAGTATTTCATTAAGACAAATACACCCGATCAACAAAATATATAGAAAACAAACAACACACACACACACACACACACACACACACACACACACACACACACACACACACTACCACTCCAAACTTGTGGTCAATAAACTTAACTATCTACCTATTGCTGGGTCTTCTTACCACCTTCTCCCACACACTGTACAAAATGGGCCCTAACTACACCCAGGCTCCTCGTCCTCTTTCTTGCCACACTACCTTGATGCACACACTGCCAGGAGGTCAGTCTACACACGGGGCAAGAAGACTAACTCAGAACAAGCTTGCCTCACTAAAAATAATTCCACAAAACTGCTAAAAGAAGATGAAAAAAACCTCTTTACTCCTTTCCGTCTTCCTCTTAGCTGCCTCTTCGCCTTTGTAATACATTTCTTAAGCCCAAAAAATACTTCAACCTTTAATTGAGTTTTTGTTCGACGATTCCCCCCCCCAACCTGATGTTCGTTCACCGAGAGGCTCTTTCTAACACAAAAACGCGTAGCCAAACTTTCGCTTCACCTAAAAGGTTTTAGGTTAAGATAAAAAGAGTTTAAGTAGTTTTAGCAAACTTAAGAGATCTTCCTGCTGGATTTCCATCACACCATCACACTGGCAACATAATGGAAGGTGACCATCACACTGGCAACATAATGGAAGGTGACCATCACACTGGCAACATAATGGAGGCTGACCATCACACTGACAACATAATGGAGGCTAACCATCACACTGGCAACATAATGGAAGGTGACCATCACACTGGCAACATAATGGAGGCTGACCATCACACTGACAACATAATGGATGGTGACCATCACACTGGCAACATAATGGAAGGTGACCATCACACTGGCAACATAATGGAGGCTGACCATCACACTGACAACATAATGGAGGCTGACCATCACACTGGCAACATAATGGATGGTGACCATCACACTGGCAACATAATGGATGGTGACCATCACACTGCCAACATAATGGATGGTGACCATCACACTGGCAACATAATGGATGGTGACCATCACACAGCCAACATAATGGATGGTGACCATCACACTGGCAACATAATGGATGGTGACCATCACACTGACAACATAATGGATGGTGACCATCACACTGGCAACATAATGGATGGTGACCATCACACTGGCAACATAATGGATGGTGACCATCACACTGGCAACAATGGATGGTGACCATCACACTGGCAACATAATGGATGGTGACCATCACACACTGACAACATAATGGATGGTGACCATCACACTGACAACATAATGGATGGTGACCATCACACTGCCAACATAATGGATGGTGACCATCACACCATGCACACATAATGGATGGTGACCATCACACTGCCAACATAATGGATGGTGACCAACACACTGCCAACATAATGGATGGTGACCATCACACTGACAACATAATGGATGGTGACCATCACACTGCCAAAATAATGGATGGTGACCATCACACTGCCAACATAATGGATGGTGACCATCACACTGCCTACATAATGGATGGTGACCATCACACTGCCAACATAATGGAGGCTGACCATCACACTGCCTACATAATGGAGGCTGACCATCACACTGCCAACATAATGGAGGCTGACCATCACACTGCCAACATAATGGAGGCTGACCATCACACTGCCAACATAATGGAGGCTGACCATCACACTGCCAACATAATGGATGGTGACCATCACGCAACCTTAACATAATGGATGGTGACCGTCACACGACAACATAATGGATGGTGACCATCACACACTGCCAACATAATGGATGGTACGAGCCATCCGCTGGCAACATAATGGATGGTGACCATCACACTGACAACATAATGGATGGTGACCATCTGCACTGACAACATAATGGATGGTGACCATCGCACTGGCACTAACATACTGGATGGTGACCATCACACTGGCAACACCAATGGATGAAATTTGACCATCACACTATTCAACATAATGGATGGTGACCATCACACTGACAACATAATTGATGGTGACCATCACACACAACTAACATAATGGATGGTGACCATCACACTGGCAACATAATGGATGGTGACCATCACACTGGCAACGCAATGGATGGTGACCATCACACTGGCAACATAATGGATGGTGAGCCATCACACCATAACAATGGATGGTGACCATCACACTGGCAACATAATGGATGGTGACCATCACTGGCATAATGGATGGTGATATCACACTGACAACATAATGGATGGTGACCATCCACTGCCAACTTTATAATGGATGGTGACCATCACACTGACAACAACATAGCTGGATGGTGACCATCCTGCGACAACATAATGGATGGTGACCATCACACTGCCAACATAATGGATGGTGACCGTCACACTGACAACTGCATAATGGATGGTGACCATCACACTGACAACATAATGGATGGTGACCATCACACTGACAACATAATGGATGGTGACCATCACACTGACAACATAATGGATGGTGACCATCACACTGGCAACATAATGGATGATGACCATCACACTGACAACATAATGGATGGTGACCATCACACTGACAACATAATGGATGGTGACCATCACACTGGCAACATAATGGATGGTGACGATCACACTGCCTACATAATGGATGGTGACCATCACACTGGCAACATAATGGATGGTGACCATCACACTGCCAACATAATGGATGGTGACCATCACACTGGCAACATAATGGATGGTGACCATCACACTGCCAACATAATGGATGGTGGCCATCACACTGGCAACATAATGGATGGTGACCATCACACTGGCAACATAATGGATGGTGACCATCACACTGACAACATAATGGATGGTGACCATCACACTGGCAACATAATGGATGGTGACCATTACACTGCCAACACATAATGGATGGTGACCATCACACTGGCCAACATAATGGACAGAACGCCATCACACTGCCTACATAATGATGGTGACTATCACACTGGCAACATAATGGATGGTGACCATCACATCGACAACATAATGGATGGTGACCATCACACTGGCAAACATAATGGATGGCAGACCATCACACTGCCAACATAATGGATGGTGACCATCACACTGCCAACATAATGGATGGTGACCATCACACTGCCAACATAATGGATGGTGGACCACTATCATCACACTGGCAACATAATGGAGGCTGACCATCACACTGGCAAATATAATGACACTGCCTACATACGGATGGTGACCATCACACTGCCAACATATCGGTTGGTGACCATCACACTGGCAACATAATGGATGAGCCCATCACACTGCCAACATAATGGATGAGTACACTGACAATATAATGGATGGTGACCATCACACTGACAACATAATGGATGGTGACCATCACACTGGCAACATAATGGATGGTGACCATCACACTGGCAACATAATGGATGGTGACCATCACACTGACAACATAATGGATGGTGACCATCACACTGCCAACATAATGGATGGTGACCATCACACTGGCAACATAATGGATGGTGACCATCACACTGGCAACATAATGGATGGTGACCATCACACTGGCAACATAATGGATGGTGACCATCACACTGGCAACATAATGGATGGTGACCATCACACTGGCAACATAATGGATGGTGACCATCACACTGGCAACATAATGGATGGTGACCATCACACTGCAACATAATGGAGGCTGACCATCACACTGGAACATAATGGAGGCTGACCATCACACTGCCAACATAATGGATGGTGACCATCACACTGCAACATAATGGATGGTGACCATCACACTGCCAACATAATGGATGGTGACCATCACACTGCCAACATAATGGATGGTGACCATCACTGAACATAATGCCATCACACTGCCAACATAATGGATGGTGACCATCACACTGCCAACATAATGGAGGCTGACCATCACACTGCAACATAATGGAGGCTGACCATCACACTGCCAACATAATGGAGGCTGACCATCACACTGCCAACATAATGGAGGCTGACCATCACACTGCCAACATAATGGATGGTGACCATCACACTGCCAACATAATGGAGGCTGACCATCACACTGCCAACATAATGGAGGCTGACCATCACACCATATTGTATCTTAAATAAAATATATTCACATCCCAACACAACAAAACATTCACACATCCTAACACCTTAAATACATGAATGGCGCCGCTCTCCTGTCACACAGTTATTTCAGCCATACAGTCACAGTTTCGCCTCCAAAACCCTTCAGTGTCCGCACAGATTGTCCAGGCAAACTTCTCTTTTTATTAAATGGTGCAGAAGGATAAAAGTGACCACAAGACAGAACCGGTTAAGGGATAAAAAAGACAATGCCGTCATCAAACAGTTCCCAAGACAGCCGCCGGACAAGAAAACTGACAAGACAAGAGAACAAAAACAACATCAATAAAGAGACAGTCCCGCGCACACCCTTGACCACGTCACCGTAAAAACAAACGACTCACTCTGTCCAATGTTCCTCGACTTCCTCGCGCTCCAGTGCAGTGTCCAGGAGACGCGCTGGAGGTAATGGCTCGGGTCCAGCGTTCGTTCCCGAGACCCACCCTCTTGTGTAGCTTCCAGGAGAGATGCTGAAGGTATTATATAGTGTCTATCATTCCAGGCATCCTCCGGCACAGTAATATTCACCCGTCACCATACAGCTCGTGTCGTCTGGCCCAGTAAACAAAATTCGTGAAGTCAGTGATACATGAAACTATGTCGTTTGCCGTTTGTATTGTGCTTTTATAACACACACAGTGACGCTGCCTCGTATATGTTCCTCTTCCCAATAGCAGTCCCAGTTTGTTTGTGTACCAAGAGAGCGTGAAACCCTCCATAGACTCAGCGATGGATGCAGTATAGATCAAATATTCTCACATGAGCAAAGTACAGGCAGCTGTTGGGTCCTCAGACACTATGTTATGTACACGGGCCAGAACCAGGAGTATTGTGCAGGGCAAGACAACAAAGGCAATGTTTCGTCAACAAATGTATTAATTAACAAGGTTTGATGATCAACTTAATCAGATGATGATATTCTCACATAATGACGACAACTTACAATAATTAAATAGATAAGTCATCACCTCAGTTCTAACAGTTTGTCTTCAAGGACTTGTGACAGTTAAGGACATATGGCTGAGTCGTGAGCCTTATCTCGAGGTGTTGGTACACTCATGAACCTTTTCTTTATTTCCTTGTATTATGACATTGAACTCTACTAGTTAAATAATGACTTCAGCTGTGAAAAAATATTACAATATATCACAAATTGTGTGTGTGTGTGTGTGTGTGTGTGTGTGTGTGTGTGTGTGTGTGTGTGTGTAAGGAACTCGAAATTGCTTGTATTTATAAAGTATTACGTATGACTTTGCTTGGATCCCGGTGTGAGCGTGTTTACGTGAACAACTATGGCAGCAAGACATGATCAAGTCACTCTTCCTCCATCACGATCCTTATCACATCTTGAGACGCCACCTGGTATTTACTCACTTCTAATATTATCTATATTAGAGTAGTATTAATCCTTGCCGTTATACCTAGAATATATGGTAATATATGCACTTTTTCTTTCAATTCTATTAATAGTAATCTTATTAATTAGTGTATGGTTTAGACACAGTATTTCATATCTTAAATAGTTCAAAAAACGACTACATACTATCGAGTAACCTCACCAAGTTTGGCCAACTGTGCAGCCATATAAATTCTAACCTCAGACCTGATGAAAATATGTACGGTAAATTACAACATAAAGCTTGTACACACACACACACACACACACACACACACACACACACACACACACACACACACACACACACACACACACACACACACACACACACACACATGGCTACAGATTTAAGATTCACCCCCAGTACACGATGAGGCGTAGAACGTTACAGGCGCCCTAAAGCCGCTTATGATTACAGTAGCAACTTACAGGGAGCGAAGGTGATGGTGATGGCTGGTGTAATAGGAGGTTGGTTTCAGGTGACGTAGTTAAATAGTGAGGAAAGACACAGTGGTTGAGGTGCCCGTAGACTTTACATGTGGCTCAGGTTGTCAACATACATCCTGTAGTATCGATATCCAACTCGCAGCTTCGAATACACTATTTACTGAGGCCGAGTCTGGGTAAATAGTCTTAAGAGGCACGATTGACGTCACAGACAACTGAGTCATAATGGAGCACTGTGAAGCTGCCCTAGATTTTAAGATTCGTCGAATGTTCGTCGAAGACCTTCAGCTGTAAGGTGTAAAACCGATATATAAGGAGATTAGCGAACAGGGGGGAGGTCTCATGTGTCTTCCTGTGTTGTTTCTTTAGCGAGACTACCAACACCGTCACAGTTTGCAATTTCCAATGTGAGAAGGAACACAGAGATTTAACATGTTACGAGTTGTATAGTCGAACCTGTTAACAGCGGATTAACAGCACTGATGTTACCGAGAACAAGGTGCCGTACACAGCGCCCACATGAGACCCCGAACCATGGCTCTTCTTTCGGTGATGTGGTGGGTGGCCCAAGTCTTGAGCTCTGATTTTTCGCTAAGTTTGGCGCATGGAGGTCCACACTGCTGCCCTGGCTGTCAACATATATTTAGTGTGTCTATAAAAATCCACTTAAGTATGAACAAGAATTAACAGGATTAATAATCAAGGATATAAAAAAGGTCCAGTTACGAAATATAGGTAACAATTGGTAGTAAAAAAAAATTCCAATTTCTCTCTCATTGTAATCAATAACTGACATAGTTGTTGAAGATGTCAAACCATAAAGTACGGTAGGAGAGTCTACAGCGCCCCCCCCCCCTGACTAACGTGCTATAGTCATTATATACAAGAATCAAGTTCCAAACGACACCTACTTAAGGCAGTTTTAATGCAATTTTGTCGCCATTTTGACTGTGGTCTTACCTCGTATGTGTCAGAGTTAATTACATTCTCTACCTGTACAACGACGAGGAAACTTTAACGTACGACCCTTGAAAACATTTACTCAGGGTTATGAATCACACACAGAAAACATGATATTAATTACGCTTTAATCGAGTGTAATAAACAGTTCACTTCATATTAAGGTGCTGAGTGTACTGCGTGTGTGTGTGCGTGTGTGTGCGTGTGCGTGTGTGTGTGTGTGTGTCGGTGCGAGTTTTAATACACTATCAACACATTTCTCTACCTGTACCTATAGTTACCGTACCTGTAATAAATACTTGTTACTGAAGTTTATCACAGTGGTGTTAACAAGTGGTGTATATTCTGCCTCGTCCTCCCGGTGCGGCGCTGAACAAACTTAACTTGAAGGTGAAAAATGGGTCCCATATTTAGTGTAAAAAACAGCGATACAATTCACTGTAAACTAATCCGTCAATACACAGTGAGACAGAGAAACCGACAGTGAAATTGACCGCCTTCATTTCACTTGGATGTTCAGGGGACTGCATAAGGCATTTTCCAAGTGCAATAGAATACACGAGACTTCAAATTCATATGTATTAAGGAATTCTAAATGCCTGTAAAGGAATCAGCTTTAACCTCCGTCTCCTTCATCTGTTCGGTATATTTCCAGCTCAGTCGCAGCAGTCCAGTGATCCAATAGTTCCCAGCAAAAGGACAAAGGGATTCTCAGCGAGGGGTCCATCACCAAACTCAATATCAGTCGTGGACAAACATTTTCATCTATATTGAAGGTCCGTCCATACCGAGTTTATTACCGGGGACAGCCAGGACCCCCCACTGACCAAGTCCACTGCAGGATATTTGGAGACTGTCCGGTGCCAGGGAGATGGAATGGCCCTGACGATGTTTGGCACCCGTATACGAAGACGTCTTGTTGGCACTCGCATGTGATCTAGTTCTCTTGGCATCCACTCATGATCAAATTATCTTGGTACTTACATGTGATCTAGTCCTCTTGGCACCCACACATGACCCCTACCCCTTGGCACCCACATGTGATCCCTACCTCTTGGCACCCACACATGACCCCTACCCCTTGGCACCCACACATGAACCCTACCCCTTGGCACCCACACGTAACCCCTACCCCTTGGCACCCACACATGAACCCTACCTCCTGGCACCCACATGTGACCCCTACCTCTTGGCACCACAGCACCCACACATGATCCCGTCCTCACTCGGGTCTACTGCAAGGCTGGACATTCACAGCTTCATATATTACAATCCAATTTGCTCCCATGAACTCAATTGGTTGAGTTAGAACGTTAGGCTGGTATTGGGAATTGGTGGCACTATTATTAAAGTGGCACTATTATTAAGTCGTTGTGCCTTCACCTACACATGAGGAGAGCCATAAACCCAGGACCTCCAAACACTATATTGTTAAGTAGAGGAACATTTATGTGACGATATTTCCTCAATGGGAGATATAAAAATTCCCAAAATGATGGCAGGTGAACGACACGGTGCCAGAGGATGTCTGAGGATGTGAAGGGTCAAGTTTGTTGTTGGATTAAGGAAAATGCATAACATCACCACCCCAATCAATACAGCATACACTCACTATCGCCACCACTATCAACCCCCACCAATAAAACACACACACACACTACCCTCAACACCACCACCCCACCATCACCCCCGCCAATACGAAATACACCCACTAACCACCACCATACCAC